GGAAGGAACTCAAATAACCATCTACACATGACTGGATTAACAAATTGTAGTATATGTATACCATGGAGTACTACTCAGCCATAAGAAAACATGGAGATTTTACATCTTTTGTGTTTACCTGGATGGAGTTGAAACACATTCTCCTTAGTAAAGTTATTTCAAGAATGGAAAAAAAAAAAAAAATCCAGTATACTCATTACTAATACCAAACCAATATATAAACAATATCGCGCCCACATAAAAAACATAAATATAGTCTAGCAAGGGGAGGAGAAAAGAGGGAGTGGGGAGAAGGGGGGATGGCAATTGGTGGGATCTCACCTAATGTGCACAATGTGAGGGTGTTCAGCACACCCCCTGGGTGAAGCGTTCATCTACAACTTGAACTTTACCTTAGAATTGAAAACAATGGCTTGGCGCCTGTGGCTGAAGCAGCTAAGGCGCCAGCCACATTCACCTAAGGTGCCAGGTTCGAATCCAGCCCGGGCCGCCAAAACAATAATAATGGCTGCAACCAAAAAATAGCCAGGTGTTGTGGCAGGCGCCTGTGGTCCCAGCTACTTGGGAGGCTGAGACAGGAGACTCGCTTGAGCCCAGGAGTTGGAGGTTGCTGTGAGCAGTGAAGCCATTACACTCTACCCAGGGGGACAGCTTGAGGCTCTGTCTCAAAAAAAAAAGAATTGAAAACAATGTGGGGCGGCGCCCATGGCTTAAGGAGTAGGGCGCCAACCCCATATACCGGAGGTGGCAGGTTCAAACCCAGCCTCGGCCAAATAAAACTCCAAAAAAAAAAAACTGAAAACAATGTAACCCGAACATTTGTATCCTCATATTAATTTATAATAAAATAATAACAAATAATCTCATTAAAAATGGGCTGAATAGGTATCTCTCACAAAAGACATACAAAAAGCCAATAAATATATTTTTAAAAAATTCTCAATATCACTAAGTATTAGGGAAACGTAAATCAAAACCACCATGAGATACATTCCCACCCTAGTTAGAATGCCTATTACCAAAAAGAGGGAAAAAAAAAAATTCCGAATCCTGGCAAGGATGTGGAGAACGGGGAACTCCTATATGATCTTAGTGGGAATGTAAATTAGTATGGCCATAATGGAAAACAGTATGGAAATTCCTCAAAAAACTAAAAACTGAACTACAAAATGAACTGGCAACATCACTACTAGGTATTCATTCAAAGGAAAGGAAATAAACATGGCAAAGAGATACATGCATCCTCTTGTTGACTGCAACATTATTCAGAATAGTCAAGTTATGAAATCAATCAACAGATAAATGAATAAAGAAAATGTGTGTGTAAATATAAATAAATACACACACACACAATGGAATACTATTTGGCCATAAAAAAGAAAAAAGTCCTGTCACTCGTAGCAACATAAATGAGCCTAAAGGACATTAACAATGGAAAAAGTATGGCCTCTCTCATATGTGGGAGCTAAAAAAAATTATGCTCATAAAAGTAGAGAAAAGAATATAGTTACTAAATGTTGGGAAGGGAAGGAGTGGGGTAGGGAGAGGATGATTAACAAATACAAATTACAGCTGGATAGAAGTTGTAGTGTTCTATAGTACTACAGGATGTCTATAGTTAACAATTTATTGTATATTTTCAAACAGCTAAAAGAGAGGATCTTCAATGTTCCCAATACAAAGAAATGATAAGTATTTGAGGCAACGGGCACATTAATTACCGATTTGATCATTACACATTGTAGATATACATGTATTGAAATATCACACAGTAACCCATAAAAATGCACAATTATTATATCATTTAAAATAACAGAAGCAAATAAATACATACACATATAAATCTAATATGGCAGCACAAGAATAACAATGATAGGCATCAATTTCAATAGAATTTCTTAGAAATAAAGTTAATTTTATAGACTCAAGAGTAATGAAACTGGACCCCATCTCATATCATACACAAAAATTAACTCGAAATGGATCAAAGACCTAAATGTAGGAGCAACTATAAAACTCTTAGAGGGAAATGCAGGCATACATTTTCAACACCTTAGATTTGGTATCCTTCTGATACCAAATACACAAGTTACAAAAGAAAAAAATAAATTCAAATATAGAGAAATTTAAAACTTTTGTATATCAAAGCATACAATCAAGAAAGTGAAGACAACTCACATAATGGGAGTATTTGTAAATCATGTATCCAATAATAGTCTAGTACCCACAATACATGTATATAAAGATTTTCATAACGCAATAATAAAAAGACAAGTAACATAATTAAAAATAGGCAAAGATTTGAATAAGCATTCCTTTAAAGAAAATATACAAATGGCCAATAAGCACACAAAGAGGTATTAAACGTAATAAGCCACCAGGGAAATGCAAATCAAGCCACAACGGTATACCACTTCACATCCACTAAGATGGTCATAACCCAACCGCCCCCCCACAACAAAAAAAAACCCAGATAATAAAAAGTGCTGGCAAGGATGTAGAGAAACTGAAACTCATGCACTGCTGGTGGTCAGGTAAAACAGTTTTTCCACTTTGGAAAACAGTGAGGCAGCCTCTCACAAAAATTAAACACAGAGTCACCACATGACCCAACAATTCCACTCATATATATATATATATATATACACATACATGTATGTATATATGTATATATATATGTATATATACCTAAGAATTGAAAACATTTCATCCACACAAAGATTTGCACAAAAATGTCCACAGCAGCATTATTTGTAATAGTCAAAAAATGAAAACAATGCAAATACCCATCAACTGTTGAATGAATAAACAAAACATGGTATAGCTACATAATCCAAGATTATTCGGCCTTTAAAAGCAATGAGGGGGCGGTGCCTGTGGCTCAATGAGTAGGGCAGGGGCCGCATATATACTGAGGGTAGTGGGCTCAAACCCGGCCCCGGCCGAACTGCAACAAAAAAATAGCCAGGCGTTGTGGTGGGCACCTATAGTCCCAGCTACTCAGGAGGCTGAGGCAAGAGAATCACCTAAGCCAGGAACCAGGGGTTGCTGTGAGCTGTGACGCTACAGCACTCTACAAAGGGCAATAAAGTAAGACTCTGTCTCTACAAAAAAAAAAAAAAGCAATGAGGTAGTGAAGCATGCTACAATGGATGAACCTTGAAAATATTATACTAGACAAAAGAAGCCAAACACTGGGTGGCACCTATGGCTCAAGGAGTAGGGCGCCCGGCCCCATATACCAGAGGTGGCGGGTTTGAACTCGGCCCGGCCAAAAAAAAAGAAGCCAAACACAAAAGACTATGTAGTATATGCTTCCGTTTACATGAAAAATCTAACATAAGCAAATTCATAGAGACAGAAAATAAATTAATGGGTGCCAGGGATAGAAAAGAGTACGGAATGACCATTTAATTGGTACAGGGTTTCCTGTTAGGGTGATAAAAATGTCCTGGAATTAAACAGCAGTAATAGTTGCACCACTTTGTAAATATACTAAAAATTACTGAATTATATGCTTTAAAAGGGTAAAGTTTGTAGGGTACAAATTATACCACAACAAAAAAACAAATTTAGGCTGGGTATAGTGGCTCACACCTGTTATCCCAGCATTTTGGGAAGCTGAAGTAATAGGATCACTCAAGGTCAAGAGTTCAAGATTAGCTTGGGCAACATAGCAAGATGCTGTCTCTACAAAAAAATTGAAAATTTTGGCTCATTGGCCAGGCACAGTGGCTCACACCTGTAATCCTAGCACTCTGGGGGGCCCAAGTGGATGGAGTACCTGAGCTCTCAGGTTCGAGACCAGCCAGAGTGAGATCTCATCTCTAAAAATACTGGTACTGTGGCAGGTGCCTGTAGTCCCAGCTACTCATGAAGCTGAGGTGGAAAGATCGCTTGAGTCCAAGAATTTGAGGCTGCAGTCCAAGACTGCACTCGAACCTGAGTGAGAGAATGAGACTCCACCTCTTAAAAAAAGAGATAAAAAAAAAAAACTTAATTAAAAGAAAAAATTCTATATCAACTACTCTTTCCACAACAGCCAAAATTATTTGTTTAAAACACAAGTTTGGGCTTGGTGCCCGTAGCTCAGTGGTTAGGGTGCTGGCCACATACACGGAGGCTGGAGGACTCGAACCTGGCTGGAGCCTGCTAAACAACAATGACAACAGTAATAAAAAAAAAAAAAAATAGCCGGGCACTGTGGCAGGCGCCTGTAGTCCCAGCTACTTAGGAGGCTGAGGCAAGAGAATCGCTTAAGCCCAAGAGTTTGAGGTTGCTGTGAGCTATGACACTGCAGAACGCTACTGAGGGCAACACAGTGAGACTCTGTCTCAAAAAACAAAACAAAAAACCAAGTTTGAGGATTTAACTCTTCTGCTCAGAACTTTTGAGGTGCCTTCCCTTTTCACTTAGAATAAAATTTGAAGTCCCTACCTTAGACTACAATGACTTATGGAATTTACTTCTCTAAATTCTCTGCCTATCACTCATCATCTATCTCTGTTACCTCCACTGCAGCTACTCTGGCCTCCTGGCTTTTGGTTAGCATGCCACCCACTCTTCAGCCTCAAGGTCCCTGTCCTTGTCCTCTCCTCCCTCTATCTAGAAACTCGTCCCCAAGAAAAATACAAGCCCAGTGTCCCCATTTCATTTAAATCTCAACTCAATGTCACTTCCTTAAAAAGGCCTTACCTGGCCACCCTACTCATTCCCTATTTTATTTTCCTCATAACATTCATCTAACTCTGACATATACTATATTTATCTAGTTATTTACTTTCTGTCTTATTTCATTCGAATATAAGCTCCATGAAAAAAGAGAATTGGTTTTGATCATGGTCATACTACTAGAACCTTTAACAATGTCTGTCAACTAGGAGATTCTTAACATAATTTGTTCAATAAATGAATAATGAATTTAATAAGGCATAAAAGAGAAAGTCATAACTAGGTTCTTAGGTTCTTAGGGTATTACCATATTAATAGAAACCTCTCACCTGTTCCAGGTTAGGATACTCCACACAGCAATAGCTGCAATATCCTCGTCCTCTGCACTGCATTTTGAATAACCAAAGTCAAATGGCTACTTGAAAATTCAAACTGAAAAAAAGAAAAATGGCCAAATCATGATAATTCCTTACTACCATGAGGAAAATGGCTATGATAATTATCAGAAAACAGAAATTCACTCTTGGGTCCTACCCACTCCTATTTCCAGTGAGCCACTGAATCAATCAGCGAGCCTGAGTAAGATGAAAACTATCCATCTTCTGAAAACTATGTTGCTAATATTTGATTAGATAACTATATTTTTTATCAATTTTCTAATAATTCATTAGAAATATTAGAAACTGACTGGAGGTAGGAAAGAGGTAAGGGATAAAAATCTACCTAACAGGTACAAGGTATGCTATTCTGGTGATGGGTACGCTGAAAGCCCTGACTTCAGCATGATACAATTCATCTATGTACCCAATACACTATTTGAAATTGAAGAAAAAATTGATTCAGTAAAAAAGAATACAGTATTCAATTTGTTAAGACAAATTACTACTGCTAAAATATTACTATATTTAAGACAATTTATTACTGCTAAAATATTACTGTTTACTAGACTCTAATGGAGCTCATTAATTTTCCCATTATGCTTACTTTTCTTCTTTCTTTCTTTTCTTTTTTTTTTTTTTTTTTTTT